ATTGAAATCAATTAAATAATCACAATCTTCTTAAACTAAAAGAATATCATGATTAAGAGTACTTTCGCTTAATCGGACTTTATATCATCAGAATCAAACGAACTTACGTTTCGTGTAAGTTAAAATTACCGCCAACTTAGACTACATGTGTACTATATATAACTTTATTCCCTCTATCATAGAGATTTGGTGTACATGAACAATATTCCTGCGCATTTTGCCATTTGGGAAATATAAACGACTTGTAATTACAGATTTTCGGCGATGAAATATTTCATACAATTGTTCTTTACCATCTTAGCCAAAAGCACAGGGGATAATAAACTACGTACGGATTTCTATTGAGCACTATTTCCTATGTGCAACTTCAAATATTATGCGTCGTTCGACGATCATTTAAGGTTATTCTGGTCATATTTTTTGTATTTCAGAATTAAAAGAATGAAAAAAATGTCCAATTAGTTATAAATAACATATTAGCCTGCTAGATTACAACAATGGCACTTTTTTCAGCATTCGTTAGGAAGAACACAAATCTAGGGTGCTAGCATAAGGCAGCTTAACTGCCTAAAAATTGCATCCAAGTTTCCTGTGGTAAGAAGTGAAATATTATTTTTTTATTAAAGTTCAGATATACGAAGTAGTCCAGTTTTAATTGGTTTCCTTGCAGGTTTTCAAAAGGATTCAAGAAGATATCACCTTTGGGTAAATACAATGTGTCAGTAACTCAACAGTAGAGTAAAACCAAAAGAAAGCTATGAAAATGTCAAAGTACAATCTTTCCTAATAAACGGTTATAACTAATGGTATCTTAATGTAATATGGTTCTTTTTTTTGCCTTGCAAGTGTTTGCATGAACAATGGCACATTTATGTCATACAAATGCTAGTCAGATTACCTTCACATAGCATTGAAATAACTATCAAATGTTGATTATTGACTTAAATGACAATGTACCTTCATTTTAAAGGTATACTGTGAACAGATATATCATGTTAAGGAGGGGTATTTGCGAAAAATACCAGTCGAGAGAATGTTAAATTTCGCGTGCCGTAAGGCGAGGGAAATTCATTCTCAAGACTGGTATTTTTCGCAAATACCCCTCAAGAACGTGCTATATCTGTTTAATTACAACGAATGTTAACGTTCAAAAACGCTTTGATGATCGTGACATTACAAGCATCCAGTCGGATAGAGTATTTTTTGGCAAATACCATGGCAGAGAGGGTAAAAAAGGCATATCCTTTTTGCATATACCCCGGCGGCGTTAAAAAATGAACAATATTCAGTAAATTGGTGAAAAATACACTGGCTATCAACCAATCAAAACCCAGGATTCTTACATAAGGTGTAATTATGCATAAAATATAACAGGCCCTGATACTCTTGACAGTGTTATTACTATATGCTAGTAGTACAAATCAGTATATATATATATACATTGTAGGTACTTATTTCATGATATAGGTGTTAGAAACTATAGGTCACTTTTAGCAAGTTATAAAAGGTGCTGATATAACAAAATATGATACAATTTCAAATGCAGAAACCATTATGGCCTGATCTATGTAAAAAAACATACGCAAAACAATTAGAAATGATTACCATTGAATTGTATGTTAACTCAAGTCTATTTTAGCCTGGCCTTCAACAAGTGAACCTCAAAATCGACAGGAATCACCATAACACAAAACATAATTCACGCAGATGGAGAGTTGTCTCATTGGCACTCATACCACATCTTCTTATATCTATAGAATCACTATACCCTAAAATATTATTCTGAAGGGATCAATATAAACTGAAATATTATTAAAGCCAACCAGTCTCTTAGTTTTTATTGCTACTAAATGTTGTGTACCGCACAGATACATAGCAAATACCAGCTTTTAGTCTTGTGTGGTCTGACCCAGCCAGGGATTTAAACTCAAAACTCTTCCTCTCAAAATAACTCAAACATAAACTTATTTCTAATAAACTGCTTCGCTGAGCGCAGCTGGATAGGCCCGCAGAGGTCCAACCCTGAACAGTTGGGGCAAAAATGGACACAATATTCAAGCTTGATACAGGTCTGAATTTGGATTGTAATTAGATATTTGACACACTATAGGTTTATTGAATAAATGTAGTCGAAGAACTTGAAATTGGTTATATGAATTGAATTTATATTCAATTAAAGATTTCTTGTTGTTGTGCAGTACACTGTGCTGTTGCGCAATACTTTGTAAATCTGTTGTCAGACTATAAACAAATAAAATCTTATAACTCGGAAACGTAAAATCGAAAATTTAAAAAAATCAAAAGGGAGCTTACAAAAATAGATATAGAACAATTTACCAAAGTTTCATAAAAATGCTGAAAGCATTTTTGAGTTATTTTCCGAAAACTGGAAAATCCCCCTTTTTGTAATGAATAAAACCCAATAAATTAGAAACTTATTGTCTAAAATTTATAAAAATCAAAAGGGAGCTCATGTCAATAGAAATAAACAATTCACTGAAGTTTCTTGCAAATTGGTGAAATTATTTTTGAGTTATTGTCTGAAAACTGGAAAATCCCCCCTTTTTTAATGAATAAAACCCCAAAATTGGAAACGGTAAATCCGAAATTTATAAAAAACGAAAGGGAGCTCAGGTCAATAGATATAAACAATTCACAAAAGTTTCATGCAAATTGGTGAAATTGTATGAGTTATTGTCCTAAAACTGGAAAACCCCCCCCCTTTTTTAATGAATAAAACCCCAAAACCAATGGAAACGGTAATTTCGAAATTTATATTAAACAACGAAAGGGAGCTCACGTCAATAAATATAAACAATTCACCAAAGTTTCATGCATATTGGTTAAAGCGTTTTTGAATTAATGTCCGACATGTTGACGACGGATGGACGGATGGTCAACGGTATACCATAATACGTCCCTTAAACGGGCTTATAAAAAGCAGTACTAAATATTATTTTAAAGAAACAAAAAAAAGTTCAAATAAATGTTATTTATTAAAATGAGAAATGATTAATGTAGCAATCAACTTATATAATAATACTGCTACTTAAGACATAAGAATATGGCAATATTGAAAAAACATCCACCCTGCTTTAAAAAACCCTCATACATTGTAGGGAAAAAGCATTGGTGTTTAATTGTTTCAGAAATTTCAACTTTACAATTGTTATGAACTAGCAACAGGGAAATTAGGTGATGTTATTCCACTTGATAATAGTAAATAGGAAAACAAATAATAATATATTACATTTTTTGAGACTACTAAACATACAAGTAAAGCAATATTAGCATTCCATAAAATATACTATTCCTTTTAACGCATTATGAAATACTATTTGACATTACTTTTAAACTATTGCAAAAGAATTCACTAACTAAAATCAAGTGGAGCAACATTTAATTTCTTGGACAGGGTGTTAAATATTATTTTAAAGCTAAGAAAAAAAATTATGAAGTCACAGGATTAAATTACCATTAAATTCAAAAACTAGTTAAATCTTCTTTTTCACAAAAAATAAGAATTGTCTCCTATTTGTATTAGCCTCATCATGAAATACTGTTAACAAAAGTACCTACAAATATGGGAGATAACTCATTAAACTTAAAATGAAGTCATAATTGTGAGGAAGGGGCGTTTAATATCAGATAATATTGAGAATGGAAGCACTTTTGTAGATGATGATGACGTAAATATAATTTGAAATCCCCATGTCAGACCAAACCACTAAATGCATTATCTAGTCTTGTTTACAAGCTGATTTTATTTACAGAGCTCTAAATAATACTGTCATCTTACTTTATTTACATTTGATATAGCATATCTAACCAAAAAAAAAAATATAACAACATTCTAATTTATTGCAGAACTCCCATGCAGTGAAAAAACTAGCTCATATGAAGAGAAAGAAAAGTTTACAAAACAATAAAATCTAAATGGGACATGTTTGTGATGATACATTGTACCTAAAATTATAACATACACTTGTAGTTCTGCCTTATTATATGTTTTGAATGTTGTACTATATGCTGAATACTAAGTTAACCTTCTACAAAAAAATCAAGCAACAAATATAAATGAAACTTTCATACAGCTTATAAATCTGCAATCTTTCCCTTATCCTTGTTGGTCCTTTATTCACAAAAAATGAAAGTTTTATTTTATCCATTTTACAAAAAAATTTACTTGTATAATATAAATGTAGCGAAATATATCCAATATTTATTACAGCCTCGCTAATGGTCATATATACATATGTCTACTGTTTTGTATACATACATATAGTCACTTTTTTTTGGAATATAACTACTCTTTCCAAATGTATTCATGATTGGCAGATGAATTTGTACAAAATTCAAATGAATAAGCTGCTATTTTTTTTTCCACACTGATTTAGTCTTTTTTAACCGACTAACGTGAACTCATCTTATGTTTTAGTGATATCAAATACCGGGTCTTGTTTCAAATAGATACCACCCACAAAGAAACATATTTGAAACTAGACAATGTGATTCCTCTGCACTCAACTCTTTAAGTAACTGTATTACAACAAAGGCAATGTAGGACTATATTTGAGATATTGTGACTGGGAGACACTATAATGATGCCCAAACAGATACAAAGTGTTATTTTAAAATACACAAAGCTGAGCATGGGTTGAATAGTCTATGGTTCACTGTAGGAGGAGTTATCCAGAAATACTATGCACCTCTTATGCAAGTAAATACTCAAAAAATTACTAAGTTCAACTATATCCCAAAAGAGCTATTATATATAAATGCACACCTTCAATATATGTTCAAACAGCCAGCAAAGTGAAACTTCTTTCTTTGCATTCCAACTCTAGGAGTAGTTATCTGGAATAGCTGTGATTTGGATGGAGAGTTGTCTCATTGGCGCTAATTTCACATCTTCTTATATCTATATAACCATAATAGGACGGTAGGAAGTAGGGACAGGAGTAAAACAATATGCACCCCCCCCCCCCCCCCCCAACTGAAAGGGCATAAAAATAGATTTAAACCAATGGCAGCTGGTTGTTCTCACAAGTCACATCAAAGTCTTACATTAAACACCTAGTACATGTTTTAACTAAGACCATTTAGGGGGAACTGTAGGCATATGAAATTCAAATGTAAATCAACATATCTGGTTTGAAAGAATAAATCTTTACAACTGGCTCTCTCCCTCTCTCTATCTCTCTCTAAACATAATTGTATTACTACATATATTTTTTGTCAATAAGTGTTTCCAAGTTTGTCTGATCAACAGAATCCGTTCTTCTGCAATAGTTGATTTCTAAATTAACAAGCAGTTTGTCTACAAATAGAAAAAAAAAATTCATTCAAAATATGTAAACTAATGATTTCTAAATTAACAAGCACATGCAGTTTGTCTACAAATAGAAAAAAAAATTTCATTCAAAATATGTAAACTAAAATTCACAAAATAATATATATAATGTTGATGTCAGAAGATATTTACATTTTATCCATATATATGGGGTAACCAGGAGACCGAGGCTGAAGAAGTTCTTCATATAAAGCAGTCCGGAATTGCATTTAATCTTAAGGCATCTTAAGTATGAAATGCCACCATTGTACTTACATTTTGCTTCAGATTTGTTTAAAATAACTCGTCAATTTTTTCAGGCACCTGCATGGATTAAAAATTTTCATTTAACCAAAAGATTTGATGGATAAGGACAATAGCCTTCAACCTGTTTAACCCCGCCATACTCTGTGTGTGCCTGTAATTCAGTGGTTAAAATTGTTTGTTGCTGTGTTACATATTTGTTTTGTTCATTATTTTGGACATAAATTATGCAGTTTGTTTTCTCGATTGAATTGTTTTACAATTTTCATTTTTGGCCCATTTATAGCTGACTATGCAGTATGGGTTTTACTCATTTTTGAAGGTAGTACTGTGACCTATAGTTGTTAATTTCTGTGTCATTTAGTCTTTTAATGTGGAGTTTTCCAAATTGCAGTCGTATCACATCTTCATATTTTTATATCTATAATTAGCATGATCAGGTGTTGTATTAGGATAGAAGCAATAAACTAGAACCCTTCATTATCTTTAATGTTACCTTATATGAAACAAGGATTTAATGTTACCATCAACATGCATACCTTAAAGTTGGTATTATTTTACATCCAGGTCCTACTTTCCTTAGATTTTACTTCAATAAATCATTTACGTGTTTGCAAAATATCCTGGATAACTGAAAAAAAATTGAATCCTTAACTGTGATAGTAGTAAAAATACTTATTGAAGGCTGAATGTTGACCAATAGTTGTTAACTTCTACATTCTTTAGTCTCTGGTGGAGTCAGTTGTCTCATTGGCAGTTATACCACATCTTATTTCGATATTTATACATGTATATGGAATTTAGTCAATGTAATCAACATCTAATCACAGCAGTAAATACATGACATTTTATCTAATACATATACATGTACATTATCAGGCATATAAGTCTTCTTAATACACTAGGCTGATTTTCATGAATTTTTATATTTTGTTTACTTTTTGTCGAGCCTTCAACTCGTCGAAAAAGCGAGACATAGCAATCCTACATTCTGTCCGCGTCATCGGCGGCGGCGGCAACAAATATTCACTCTTTGGTTAAAGTTTTTGAAATTTTTATAACTTTCTTAAACAATCCTGGATTTCTACCAAACATGGACAAAAGCTTGTTTATGATCATAAGATAGTATCCAGAAGTAAATTTTGTTCAAATAAATTCTGTTATTTCCGTTTTTTACTTATAAATGGACTTAGTTTTTCTGCCAAGAAACATTACATTCACTCTGTTAAAAGTTTTTAAAATTTTAATAACTTTCTTACCTGGATTTGAACCAAACTTGGACAGAAGCTTGTTTATGATCAAAGCTAGTATCTAGAAGGAAATTTTGTTAAAATTTTGTACCTGTTTATCCATATTTTATTTTTAAATGGACTTCCCCATTTCCATTCTCAATTTTATTAGTTGTTCTTCCAGTAACATTACATACAGTCTGCAGTTAAGTTTTTAATACATTTATTAGATTCATAAACTATCCTGGATTTTTACCAAACTTGGACAGAAGCTTATTACAATCAAAAGATAGTATCAAGAGGAATATTTTTTATTAATTTTCTTCCTCATTTTTGTCGAGCCTGCAATTAACAGCAAAAGTAGGCCAGACACTTGGTTCCATGCTTACGAATATTTAGTTTATGCATGATTTTTTTTCAACTTATGAATTTTTATTTGTAATACGTATTTTGGTCATAACTGCTAATTGTGACCTGTGGAGCAGGAACTGTTTACCCTTCCTTTTCTTTCAGGAGCACCAATGTTGTTAAAATTCTCCATTTTGTTGGGTTCATATTATTCAATCTAGTTTTCTGGTTAGTGTCAGATTGCTCCCATAGAAATTTATCCCTTTTCTACACTAAAACAGAATATCAATGAATATTTTTGGCGCTCCATGATAATTATCTTGTGGACTTAAAGACTATACCCAGACGTGAATTTACACATCAAAATCATAACTGCTTAAATGAAATGACTTAAGACATCTACTACATGTATCTTATGCAAGATTACCTTGTCTTTTGAATGTTAAAGCTTCATGCAGACCCGGTTGTGATGTTCCTTATCTGGGAGATTAATCAGTATATATATCCTTCTCCAACTGTCCATACACAAGAATACTGGTCACATCCTAATAAATGACTATCCTTCACATTCTCAGGTTCACAGCTGATTAAGTCTATATTCCTTTCAGATCTATCATTTGAGTATTTTATTGTCTGCTATTCTTACTGTCTACTATACAACTTACAACTCCAGTAATCGCCAAGTGTCACATAGGGCGCAAATGGATTTTGCTTTTCTGTAACATTATGGTTTTTACGAGGATAGGTTGTTGGCCTATCTCTCAATCCCTAACCTGAAGAACCAGAGAATCTTTACTCAAGGTTTCTTTCCTTTAGATCAATTGCAGACCAAGGCTGACAAGTCAAATCTACCCAGAATTTTATATCAAGAGTTCTCTCTCCTAGACAAATTGTCTTTCAAGGCTGATGACCATCATCCAGCCGGCTATTTACCCATAACTGGGGCAAGGTTGATGAGTGCTAGGGCATGTCCACACATCGATGGGCCTACACACTGCATCTCTAGGGTCCTTGCTACTCCGAGATCCTCTACAGTGAAGCCTAGGATACTTAATCCTAGTTACCATGTGCTGTCGCGAGGAGGCACTGTAGAAGTCTTGTTAGTGCAGAGGCTATGTACTGGCAGGAAAGACTTACGCACTCAGCTTTCTTTTCACCTATGAATATAAGCTATCCAGCGGCAGCGCAAGTCTATGACTCCCAACCGCACTAGACGCATACACAAACCTGTGGTAATTAACACCACCAGCACACAAAAAAAAGGTTATTGATTCAAATTTAGAAAAAGGAAGAGTTATTTATTTAAATTTAGAAAAAGGTAGGGTTATTGATTCATATTTAGAAAAAGGAAGAGTTATTTATTTAAATTTAGAAAAAGGTAGGGTTATTGGTTCAAATTTAGAAAAAGGAAGAGTTATTTATTTAAATTTAGAAAAGGGTAGGGTTATTGATTCAAATTTAGAAAAAGGAAGAGTTATTTATTTAAATTTAGAAAAAGGTAGGGTTATTGGTTCAAATTAAGAAAAAGTGATTCAAATTTAGAAAAAAGAAGTGTTATTTATTTGAATTTAGAAAAAGGAAGAGTTATTTATTTAAATTTGGAAAAAGGTAGGGTTATTGATTCAAATTTAGAAAAAGGAAGCATTATTTATTTAAATTTAGAAAAAGGTAGGGTTATTGGTTCAAATTTAGAAAAAGGAAGAGTTATTTATTTAAATTTAGAAAAAGGTAGAGTTATTGGTTCAAATTTAGAAAAAGGAAGAGTTATTTATTTAAATTTAGAAAAAGGTAGGGTTATTGGTTCAAATTTAGAAAAAGGAAGTTATTTATTTAAATTTAGAAAAAGGTAGGATTATTTATTTAAATTTAGAAAAAGGTAGGGTTATTGATTCAAATTTAGAAAAAGGAAGAGTTATTTATTTAAATTTAGAAAAAGGAAGAGTTATTTATTTAAATTTAGAAAAAGGTAGGGTTATTGATTCAAATTTAGAAAAAGGAAGAGTTATTTATTTAAATTTAGAAAAAGGTACGTTATTGGTTCAAATTTAGAAAAAGGAAGAGTTATATATTTAAATTTAGAAAAAGGAAGGGTTATTTATTTAAGTTTAGAAAAAGGTAGGGTTATTTATTTAAAATTCAGAAAAAGGAAGTGTTATTTATTTAAATTCAGAAAAAGGCAAGGTTCGTTATTTGAAACTTAGAATGCATTTCATCCAAAAGTACAGGGTTATTTGTACTTCACAAACTTTAAAGCAACTACACACCATCAGAACAGTGTGAAATTACAACACCAACACATTACTTACTTCCCTCCTTACCCAGCAACTTCTTCCTCTCTATTACACTAGGCCATGGGGTAACCCTTCCTGACCTCAAAGCCCTTAAATACAAGTCCCTAGACTCCCATGGGATAACCCTTACCACCCTCCAGGCCCTTAAATACAAGTCCCTGGACTCCCATGGGGTAACCCTCCCCGACCCCAACCCTTAAATACAAGTCCCTGGACTCCCATGGGGTAACCCTCCCCAACCTCCAAGCCCTTAAATACAAGTCCCTGGACTCCCATGGGGTAACCCTCCCCAACCTCCATGCCCTTAAATACAAGTCCCTGGACTCCCATGGGGTAACCCTCCCCGACCCCCCAACCCTTAAATACAAATCCCTGGACTCCCATGGTGTAGCCCTCCCCGACCTCTTAGCCCTTAAATACAAGTCCCTGGACTCCCATGGGGTAACCCTCCCCGACCCCCAAGCCCTTAAATACAAGTCCCTGGACTCCCATGGGGTAACCCTTCCTGACCCCAACCCTTAAATACAAGTCCCTGGACTCCCATGGGGTAACCCTCCCCGACCCCCAACCCTTAAATACAAGTCCCTGGACTCCCATGGGGTAGCCCTCCCCGACCTCCAAGCCCTTAAATACAAGTCCCTGGACTCCCATGGGGTAACCCTCCCCAACCCCCAAGCCCTTAAATACAAGTCCCTGGACTCCCATGGGGTAACCCTCCCTGACCCCCAAGCCCTTAAATAAAAGTCCCTGTACTCCCATGGTGTAACCCCTTCCCGACCTCCAAGCCCTAAAATATAAGTCCCTGGACTTCCATGGGGTAACCCTTCCCAACCTCCAAGTCCTTAAATACAAGTCTCTGAACTCCCATGGTGTAACCCTCCCCAACCCCCAATCCCTTAAATACAAGTCCCTAGACTCCCATGGTGTAACCCTCCCAGACCCCCAGACCGTCCAAACCCTTAAATACAAGTCCCTGGACCCCCACTCTCCCTTTCATCAGACCCCTGGGCTTCCCCTCCAAGACCTCTGAGCTCTTAAATTCCAGTTCCTAGATGTTGCCTCATTCCTCCCAACCTGCTCCAAAGCCCAGCCACAGGTCAACTATAGATAAAGCTGTTGCTATGTGGGGTGAGGGGATAATTAAAGAAAAGGAAGAAGAAAACATCAGCAAGCCGGTAGAAGCTTTACCTTTAATTCTATCCATACAGTGCTAATGGTTGTGGGTGTCATGCTAAGGTAACATGCTTGGGTATTGTGATTGGGTATCGTGATTGGGTATCGTGATTGTGTATCATGGGTATCATGATTGGGTATCGTGATTGGGTATAGTAATTGGGTATCGTGATTGGGTATCGTGATTGGGTTTTGTGATTGGGTTTCATGTCTAGTTAGGTAATGTTCTACTGACTTGCTAGTGTTCAATTTTTTCAATTTTTAAACATTTTTAAAAAAGCAAGTAATGTATTCATGTTGCACTCAGACGCTATAATAATGCAGTATTGTTCAATTCAAGTTGTTGGAAGTCCAAATCTCATTGCTAAACACTGAAAATTATAAGAAAGTTTTCAAACTAATTTAGTTATTGTGAGCTAAATTTGATATTTAAATTTAGAAAATGGAAGAGTTATTGATTCAAATTTAGAAAAAGGAAGGGGTATTTATTTAAATTTAGAAAAAGTACAGGTTAATTATTCAAATTTAGAAAAAGGAAGAGTTATTTATTTTATTTTAGAAAAAGGAACAGTTATTTATCTAAAATCTAGAAAAAGGAAGGGTTATTTATTCAAATTTAGAAAAAGCAAGGGTTATTTATTTGAATTTAGAAAAAGGAATGGTTATTTATTTAAATTTAGAAAAAAGAAGGGTTTATTATTCAAATTTAGAAAAAGGAAGGGTTATTTATTCAGATTTAGAAAAAGGAAGGGTTATTTATTCAAATTTAGAAAAAGCAAGGGTTATTTATTTGAATTTAGAAAAAGGAATGGTTATTTATTTAAGTTTAGAAAAAGGAATGGTTTATTATTCAAATTTAGAAAAAGGAACAGTTATTTATTTAAATTTAGAAAAAGGTATTGTTATTTATTTAAATTTAGAAAAAGGAACGGTTATTTATTTAAAATCTAGAAAAGGAATTGTTATTTATTCAAATTTAGAAAAAGGAAGGGTATTTTAAATTTAGAAAAAGGAACGGTTATTTATTTAAAATCTAGAAAAGGAATTGTCATTTATTCAAATTTAGAAAAAAAGGAACAGTTATTTATTTTAATTCAGAAAAAGATAATTACTTAGTTTTGTCTTTAAAAAAGCATGTTTACTCTTTATCAACAATTGCATGGATATATTTTAATGCTTCTTGTTTAAAGTCTAATAAATTTTAGTGTTTTGTTTGAAATTTAATAAAAAAAAAATTTTAAATTGCCAAATTTTGTTTAAAATCTAACAAATTTTGTTTTTTATCGTTTAAAATTAAATAAATTTTGGTAATTTTGTTTAAAATTTAATAAATTTTGATGTTTTTGTTCAAAATATTTAAGAGGAAAGTTCGCGTGAAAATAATGTATCCATTACTTTATTACAATGTAATTCAATTCCGCCTTCCTGTGAAAATAATGTATCCATTACTTCATCACAACATAATTCAATTCCGCCTTCCCAAGGAAATAATGTATCCATTACTTCATCACGATTTCATCAAAATCCCGAGGATGTTCTGTGTTTCTCAACCACTATCCAGTCTATCAGAAACATTCTGAAATTAAACTGAAGGAGAAGATTAAAATACCTGAAAAAAAATCAATTATTACACATAGATATTACAGTTATTTTTTTTTTTTTTTTTTATAATTTTTTTTTTTTTTTTTTTTTTTTTTTTTATAAAAGTAGAATGTTTGTCACCACCAAATTATCAGAGACCATCTTTCCAACACATTACTTCAAATTAAAATTAAATATATTGCAGGTTACTTTTGATATTAATTAACAAACATGAAATATTAAAAACGAAGTTTATTTTTTGGAATTGAAATACTGAAATGGTGATAATGTTATTTTTATCACAAATCTGCAATGTTTTGTGTTTTAATCAGTCCCAATAAAATATCTCAATGAAATATTACTTTTGAACCTTCACATTTACATTAAAACAATTACCTTTCAGGGAAAAAACTACTGAGCAAAATATTTAAAAAGTATAGACTTTTGCATAAAATACCAAGTAATGTGAGGAAACCAATCGTATGCAGGAAAAGCTCAGTTGTAGTGACATTTATTCTCAGTATTACTAGTGACAGATAAGTACTGAAACTTGTACTTACAAGAGATCTAAACACCTCTACAACTATAACCTTCACTGGACAATTGTAAGTTCTTAAATAAAACAAGTATGGACGTCATGCAGTCAGATAAAGCAGAGGTATCTACTGCGCCAACTGTAGGGACAAATTATTGTTTACCAGTGTATATGTCATTATGTTTTACTATACTGTACTATCAACTCCAAGAACTTTTTTTGTTGGTGACTTTCATATTTCTGTGTGTGTGTGAATTTTTTGTGTGTGAATTCTTTGTGTGTGAATTTTTAAGTCAGTTGTGTTGTATGTTTACACAATTTTGGCTCCTCTGTCATAAATATTGTAATATTAACCAATTATGTCAATAAAAAGAAACAAGTAAGGCAAATGCCACTGGTTTTTAATTTGTTCAGGTCGTCATCATGGATAGGACCATTTGACTTTGCAAGGTTTTATGGATTCCCCCTTTTGGAATTTACCATGGAGTTGAGTTAATGTAAATAGATATGGCACTATGGGATGATTTTTAAGGTCATATTCAAAGATGAGACCCTCAAGGTTGATCAAGGATGTCAAGGTCAGGGTCATGCCTTTCAGAACGATGTTCATAATACAGCATCTATACTAAAATAAAAAACAAAATTTGAATGTTGTAAATTTTTTCATAAATAACTGGTCTGAAGAAAAAATTATGAAAATTTTAAAAACTTTTTTTAAAACAATTTATGAAAGCTAAAGACAAAACAAAAATTGAATAAATTCATAAATATTGACGTTAAAATCTACTGGAACAGTTATACATTTAATCTGACTCTAAATTTGACATTAAACAATTTTTCTTTGAATAGT